GCATACTGTATAAGGTCTTAATTTAAACGCATGCGTCAAAGAGCTTTGACAGTTAGAATTGCAAGCTCGTAAAATTTTACGAGTTATTGCTATAGAAGAATATGGACCTTATTTCTTTGACTCTACGTGTAATTTTGAATGCGCTGTTAGCAATACAGCAGGTACGGACCTCGAGGAAAAGAGACGGCTATATTACCGACCATGCATTTAAATATTACAAATATTTTCTATTAACTCAGTTTATAGTAGGTATTAGAACAAATTTTACTTCGAATGTGTTATATTAACAAACATAGATTAAATACCTGTCGAAAAAACGATACTTTACATACTATAAGTTTTTTTTTCGCATTTTTTCACGGAGTTCAACGGTCGGTCACTTTTCAACGGTCCGCGAGTGACTGTGAACCAAGAAGTGCTTGAGATGTGTTCAAGCACTTCTTGATTGACATACATTTTCATCTCACGATCGATCGATTCGATCTCACGTGGTGTATCTATGGTATTTAATATCGTTGGTAGCCGATCACTAAATAAATGGCAACAACGAGCTTCAGACGCTTGCTCTACAAAAGAAGTTTCAATTAAAAAAAATCGATTATTATGTGCTTGTTGGTCATTGGTGCCACTACCTTACACAGAAGGAGTATATAGAAGCAAAAAAATGTCTTTATTATCTTATGCTATATAAAATTCTCGTGTCACAATATTAGTTACCATACTCGTCCGAAACGACTTGACCGATTTTTATGAAAGGAGATTGCTCAAATTGGCCTAACCGTACAAAAAATATTGACATATACGGTAATTCTTGGCGTAATTTATACTTTATTTTACAATCATTCGAATATAACGGACACCTTTTCATAATAAATTCATTTTAAAAAGGACTTAATTTTACCGGTTTGGAAAACAAACTAATCATTTTTAATAGCTATGGGTGTAGTAACATTCAGCCAAAAACAGATCAAAGTTGTTTATATCAAAATAAATCTATTTTGTAAAGATAGATAAAATGAAACATTTTATTATTACACTGTGGTATTAATATCCACAACTATATTATCATTTTTACTACATCCAAATATGCTAAGACAATTATTATAGATAGTAGGCGACATTATAAAGTCTATTGCCATACATTTTCCGCCAACACTTCCATAAACACATTATAAGGTGTGATACACTAAAAATCTAAAATATCGTGATGATATGTAATATTAAACTCAAAATAAAAGTAACTTAAGTTGTTTTATTTCATTAATCTACCTTATCAGAATATTGAAGCTACCTATATTTCACATTGATCAGAACTATCATGAACCTACGCATATGTTATTATATTAGAATTACCTTTTACCATTATAAACCTAATGATTACTAAGAAAACATCCTATTAGTTTTTATTTATATATAAATTTTTGCAATCATAACCTCAAAATCATTCATTGTATATGGTTTATAGAAGTTCTCAGGGGTGTTCGTTAATAATATTCATTTCTACAGTAATTTATATATAATTGCGAATCTAGGAAACATTTTTTCATAATTATTGGTCTTTAGGCCAAACATGTATGGAAGCTGAGCAATCTCCTTTATATGCAAATTCAGTAGGTCTAAGAATCGGCTACTATCTATTTTTCATACCCCTAAGTGGTAAGGGTTTGTACACTCTTTTTTTTTTGTGACGAGGGGAAATGCAGTTACGCACCATACCGTGACGCTGACTAGGCGCACGGCGTGTGTGGGACTCGCCGGCATGGGAAACAGTGCCGACCCTACTCAAGCAGGACCAGTGCGGAAGGCCACACTGATCCTACTCCACTGAAACCCCCCGGTACCCTCCTACGCTCATATGGGGGTGGTCTCGGGGCCGACGCACCTGCGTGCGCCACATCTCCGAGCACGCCCCCGGGCAGGCCCGGCCCAACGAGTGGACCGGGCGACGCGCTTCAGGGAGACTGCGCTAGGGTACTAGGCAGTCCCCAGACGTGGTGGCCTATGCCGGAGCGGCACCTAGGACGCGCGGCTAGTCAGGCCGCGCCCAGACCACCTTAGGGCCGTCGAAGACCGGCAGTCACCGCTGCCTGCCTTCTTCGGCCCACCCGTCTACGCCGGAGAGGGGCGGCTAGAGCGTCCTCCTCCCGCTCCCTCTCCGCTGCCTCCTTCTGCGTCATCACCGATTCGCAGAAGGAGGCGCAACCCTCCAGGCTCTCTCGCTACCAAGCATGGCTCTTACCATATTTGGCAGTGTGAGTATCTCGCCAGGCCGGGCACACGTGCTCGGCCGTGTCGTCGGGAGAGGCGCAGTGATGACACCGCGGCATCTCCTCCCGACGGGCGACTCGGTGCAGGTAGTGACCGAAGCACCCATGTCCGGTCAGTTCCTGCACCAGGCGGTAGGTGAGGGTGCCCCGCTGGCGCCCTACCCACTCCTCCAACACCGGACGAAAGGGTTTGTACACCCCTAACATTTTATTTTTATTTCATGAACAAAATTTTATTTTTTATAATGTGGCATTAAAAATACATACAACCCAAAACTTTACCCTTCTACCACCAGCCCCTATTTTTATGGCGGTACGAAGTTCGCTGGGTCAGCTAGTATTTAAATAAAAACGTAGCGTTTATCAAATAATTGTCCGTTTCAAACGTTTTGAGTGCAAATGTAAATAAAGCCTGACCTACAATATCTTAGTAATGGGATTTGGTAGAGAATTCACTAAATGGTAGCTAATTGAGAGGTACTTTTTTGTTTACATTCACTCTAGTAACCTGTTAAACGGAATACAAGGGAGTACTTGTATATTGGCTATTGGATAGGTAGCACGAAGTAGAATACAAAGAGAAAACTTGTCGCCACTATCAATTAATTACGATTTGAGGGAACTCTGAAAAGGGAAGAAACGATTGCCTACTAGTTTATTTAATACCTGCAGATGGAAGCAAATTGGGTCAAGAAGTAAGAGATGTAGACCTAATGAATCGTATTTATTTTGTACTAGAGTTTGTCCGTGACTTCGTCTGCGTGGTATAATTGTTTTCTCATACGAACCTCCGCCTCCTTTTTCACATCTTTTAGGGATTTTTCCTGTCTTTTGAGGGACTTTACCTTCATCTTTGTATTTATCAATATTGATATAAAAACTACCAATTCATCCAAGGTTATTTTTGGATGTGGACAGTTGAGGAAGGCCGCATATTTTTGAGATTTGGATTAAGTATCAAAACTTAAAAAATAATTCCAGCATCTCTATTGGTGCTTTATTTCTATATTTACTATAATCACCTTCTGGAAATACAGTTGCGTTTTGACTAATATCCTCATTTATCCAAGATTTCGGCGATTTCTTACTTTGTTTCGAGGAGGGCCCTCCATCTTGATCTTCTGAGGTTTTGTCACTCTTTGATTCCGAGTCACGAGGCTGTTGCTGCCTCCGACCACGAGAAGAGTTGGAGACGCGATCACGGCGACCACTCTCTATCTGAGAAAAGCGATGGCACACAACGACGTGTTGGATTACTTTTCTTCGAAGCCAACCTTAACTCACACTTAGCATTCAGCTGTCAACTAGACAAGTTGTTGACCAAACCACCTTCGTCTTCGTCTGTGACAACAGCCGGATCAGGCGGTGTAATGAGAACTGACACAGGATCGACATCCTAGTCATCTTCTAGAATCGCAAGAACTTCATGAAGTCTACAGCCCCTATAAAAATCAAGTAGCCAAATAAGAACATATAGAACACACCTAAGTAATAATATTTTCGTACCACTTGCTCAAAAAAGTGACATTCTATGCCACAAAAAGCGAACATAACAATAGTCATTTTTAATCTGTTAAAAACAGGGAAAGAAAATTGTTTTGAATTTAATTCACCTCTAGGGGGAGAATGTGATTCAAATTTGGAATACTTACCGAAATTTATACTGAACTACATCTGTGTTTACACCATTGAGTTTGTATTTAAAGCATTATACATCTTTTTGAAAAAGGAATACGCATTTATTGTGCAGTTATGATTATTAAATAAAATTACGAAAACCGACGAGGCCATATTTAATTAGACCAATGTTTCGAATGTTAACTTTTAATTTTAATTGTCATAATTTTTAATAAATGCTTATCTCGTATTATTATTGTGTTAATTTTTTCGCAAATGGTACGAAAAGTAGAGTATTTTCCTCGGTGATAAAGCTGTCTTAGTCGTGGGTGAACTTAAATCCCTCGAACTAAATTTTTAACACCCTCGCTACGCTCGGGAGTAAACCTCAAGTCCTTCGTTACGCTCGCGATTTAAATCGTCACTCGCGACAGAAGACACTGCTTTTTCCCCTTGGGTAATAATCTACTATTAGTACATATAAAACAAATATTTGATGAAACTATCACATTATGTTCAATGTATGAAAAGACACTGTAGAGGTTTCGCTAAACAACTGGTTGTATTTACATCATAATCAGTAACTGTTTCTAAAATTTTATTTATTATAAGTATTATAATATTACAAAACAATAAGATGATAAAACTAGCTACACAATAAATATTTTAGATATTAGAGATACTTACATGAAAGCGAAATTGATTTTAGGTCGACTTTCTCTAACACTGAACTTGCAGGTGTCAGCAAAATAAAATACTTGTCTGTGATTGGCTAAAAATTACACGTGATTATGAGTTTACATATGAACTTCCCATACTGATGCCAACCAATAATATTAAACGTTGAATAACAGCTCAAGGCGCGAAAATTTAAATATCTAAATCTGGGTACAGAACGCCACCGCTAGGCCGTAATGGGTTAAAATTGAAAAGGTAACAGACAATAAGACAGACACACTTTTGGCATTTATAACATTAGTATGGCAGTATAGATGTACACACACTCCAACATAGATTCACATTTTAGTATGTCACCTTTTGCGGAGTGGAGTGGCGGCCATTTTCGGGCCACAATCGGCACCCGCAGCCGCCCACGTTCAGTCTATTTATGACACAATGGAACTGCCGCACTTAGAGACCAGATGGGACTACCGCACTAGACGAGAGTCATGTCTTGTCAACCTTTACCCACATCCAGCGGCACTCAGCCGGGTAAGTGACATCGGACGAATTGAATTTTGATACGAAATATTTCCACATACCTACGGTTTGTAATAAACCTGTTTTATGGAATAAGAAAATAGCAGATTGTATTTATTCATCGTTGTCGTTTCATTCGTGACTTCCGTCGTACCCTTTTAAGATTCCGTGTTAATCCTTCATCCTCTATCTTGTCACGTGAGTGTCAAATTATATTAATATGCATTTATTTTTTTCCCTAAAGGTTTTTTTAATAGTCTCTTATCATACACAATATGTCAGATTTAAAAAAAAGATGATTTTCATAATTTATTGAAATACAAAACAGCATTATAAATATTTATTTTCACTTTAAACCGCTAACATTACTATGTATATTTTCCTTGTTCTGAGTTGATGTAACTATTTAAATATTTATGTAGGTATTATCCTGTTTTCCAGGGAACTAATGTTTACTAAGCTAGTCATGCTAACGCTAAACTTTATATGAGAATAAAGTCTACCCTTGTTTTTCATCCTAAAGATTAAAGAGATTAAAATTCATTAATGCTCTGACCCAAACAATGTTCAATGTGCCTGTTACATCGTTATTTACGTTTTTAAGAAGGTGCCTACTAGTTATGTCATAATGTTTTAAACCCATTTTCATGTTCATTTATTTATTACACGTTTTTGGCAGTAACTTTTTGTCATATTTTTTTTTTATAGAGAGGTCCGACAAATGACTCCCCCCCACCTGATGTTAAGTGAAGGTGAAGTCCAGACGCGAAGATAGCTGATACAGCAGTTCTACCTGCCACACCAGCCATCCTCACCCTGCCGGCCTGCATGTTCTCTTTCGTCGTCTCGCGCGTCGCCGGCGCGGAAGGCGCCGCGGCGTGCGGGGAATCCGATCTGGCGCGAGCCACTGCGGAGGTGTCGGGTTCGCATCTCGTTTCGAACGAGACGGTCGATGGGGCTGTTACCCCCGCCTCCGCTTCTTCACTCATCGCCCTCGGCGCGGTCAAGCCCACCGGGTGAGACCCATGAGGGAGGCCCAGTGAGCGACCTGCGAGCGGGCGATGGACTTCAGCGGGCAGGGGTAGTGGCGTGTCCGAGGGTAGGTGGTGCGAGGGTAGGTGCGGTAAAAGTTTTTCCCGACTGACCGATGTTTTTCACGAAGTCCGCTAACAGTTCGGTGAGCTGTAGAATCAACCTGGCTGTTGCGTCTTCTTGGGCGGGCGGTGGCGGTGAGGGTTGGTTGCCTTCATTGGGTGGTGGGGCTGCGGTGGGTGAGTCCGTCGGCGATGTTCCACTCGCTCGACGGGGCTTGCGGTTGCGTCGCTTGGGGCGGCTGGTGCGGGAGGGAGGAGCGTTTGCGGGGGCCATCAGCGTGGCCGGCGCGTGCTCGCTCACCTCCGTGGGCTGCTGGATTGGCTCGGTGTTCGTGCGGCCTGTGCGGGCCACTGTAGTGGCGCGGCGGTTGCGCGCCTCGCGGTGTTTCGCGGGGCACGCGCTGTAGGTGGCTGGGTGCGCGCCCGCGCAGTTCGCGCAAGTCGCGGGCTGCGTTAGCGGGCGGGGGCAGTCTGCGGCAGCGTGCGGGTCACCGCAGCGCACGCAGGCAAGCGGGCGGTGACATCCGTGGCTGGAGTGGCGGAACCCCTGACAGCGATGGCACTGCGCTGGGGTCTTCCTTCCTCTCCAAGCCTCTATCTGGATTCCTGTCATGTATAGCAACTCACTTACTGAGTATATGGCTGGGATGGTCTCGGGGGTTCGGCGTAGCGAGGCGAAGTAGAGGCATCCGGTGCGGCCTGCTCGCGCCCGGATTTCCTTGACGTGTTCGATTGCGAAGCCCTTTGCAGTAAGGGCCTCAGCAATGTCTTGCGGCTTCGTGTCGGTAGGCAGGCCTCTGATAGCCACCTTAAGGCTTCTATCGTCTGGGTGGGCGTGTGAGTACCAACTCAGTCCGGCCTGTCCCTCTAGTCCAGAGAGGTAGGCCTGGACGAGTCGGCCCTCGTCTTCGTCGTGCGGCGTGAAGCGCACACCCGAGCCAAACGGGCGTACGCTAGGGGGACGTCCGAGTTTCTCCCGTATGATGCGCAAGTGTTTTGGCCAGTCCTGCAGCTGCTCAACCACTATCGGCGGGGGCTTACGGGCCCGCTGGGACGTGGGAGCGCTGCTGGAGGCCGGTTGCGCATTCTGTGCGGTGGTGGGTAGTGCATCGGTGGTGGGGGTTTTTTCGTCATCTATGTGGGTAGACGCGAAAAAACCTGCGGCCTGTGCGTAAGACTGTGTCGGTACAGCAGTCTGCTCCGGTTGTGGTTCTTTTTCAGGGGCGGCGGGGGCGGCTTCTTGCGCGGGTTGGTTGTCGTGCTGCGTGGCAGGGGTTACCTTCGTTGGTAGTGGTGCCTGCTGGGGGTCGGGGGTGTCTCCGACGCTGCGAGACCGGGGGAGGCGCGGGTCGCGCGGTTGTGTACCGCGGGCGCGTCGCTCTTCCGGTTCCTTCCTAATGCCCTTCATATAAATGACGGAGGGCGCTGGGACCGTGATTGGTCTGGAGTTTGCGTAGTCGCATGCTGCGATGATCTCCTCGTCATCGGGGTCGCGTTCGGTGAAGGAGCTTGGGTGCTGATCTAGGAGGCGGTAGTAGACCCACAACCATCTCTGCAATCTCCACGATAGGTGGCCGGATAGCACGAGCCGACTTATCATCGCCGCATCCAATTCATATTGGATGCGCGGCGACCCAAAGTGGCTCTGTGCTGCTGCGAAGATGGTCTTGGTGTCCGCCAAGCTGGGTGTCGGATTCTCAGTGTATTCGTCGTCGTCGTCCATGCTGCAATCTTCCATGCTGCGTGCTGGGGGCTACGCCTGCGCGAACCTGGCCGAGCGCAGCCTTGCGGCGCGCTCAAGGCCTGCGGCTGTGGGCGCGGCAGTCACCGCCGGCGCGGAGTGGCGCCGGGCAGTCTCGCGAGTGGGAAAATGCTCAGATTTTACCTCGGAGACTTGTGGATGCTGGAGGTTCCGTGCAACGGCGTAGTACAGTCCTGCATGTTGCTTCTGCACGCCTCTTTTAAAGGATCCCAGGTTGTAAGAGGGAGGGAACACGTGAGCGGGCAGAGCATTCCATTTACGGATAGTGCGACAAAGAAATGAGTCACCAAATTTCTTTGTACGCGTTGCAATTGTGGCCACAGTTAGACGGTGACAACGTAGGCCAGCGCGCGTGGTCCTCTGAAGGAAAGGAGAAGGTGGGATAAGAGAGAATAACTCCTCAGAACAGTCGCCGTGGTACAGACGATAGAACGCGCTTAGTGACGCCACGTCACGGCGTAATTGAAGAGTCTCAAGGTGTTTAGTCACCTCCTCATCGCCTATTATGCGGATCGCGCGCCGCTATAGCCTATCCAAAGCATCGAGCAAGTACTTGGCGGAGCCATCCCAGAGGTGCGAGCAATATTCCACGCAGGACCGCACTTGCGTTTTGTACAACAAGCACAGTTGATCGGGCGTGAAAAGACGTCGCACCTTGTTTAGGACTCCGAGTTTGCGTGAAGCTGTTTTGATCACGGTTTCGATGTAGTTCTTTGGATTCAGGTCTGAGCGAACTTCCATACCGAGCATGGAAATGTTGCTCTGTACCGGTAGTGTTGTGCCCTGAAGAGAGGGAAGGGGAAGGAATGGCGATGTTTTTGCCGTGAAAGCGCAAGCCTGAGTTTTCTTGGCATTGAACTCAACCAAGTTCCTGGTGCCCCATCCGGAAATGTGGTCCAAAGCCTGATTGAGTTCAATGACAAGATTCTCCCGTTTCTCCTTGGTTACCGCCTGCCCAGCCGCTGCTTGTCCGAGATACCCCGCATGCACTGTACTATCGTCTGCATAGCAATGAATATTCCCAAGAGGAATTAAGTCATTGATATGCAGCAGAAAGAGAGTGGGGGATAGGACGGAGCCCTGGGGAACGCCGGCATTCACTGACATGAACCGCGAACTGCTACCATCCGTAAGGACACGAATTCTACGCTTATGCAGGAAGTCAGCTACCCAAGAACAGAACTGGGCTGGCAGACCGTATGCCGGAAGCTTGGAGAGAAGGCTTTTGTGCCATACCCTGTCGAACGCCTTGGCAATGTCAAGGCTGATAGCCAACGACTCGCCACGCTTGTCGATAGCCTCACCCCAGATATGAGTTAAGTACGCTAGAAGATCACCCGTCGATCGTTTCGGTCTTAAACCATATTGACGATCATTAATCAGGGAGTGATTCTCTAGGTAGCGGGTCAGATGGAAGGTTATTAAGGACCTTTTCTAGAACTTTACATAAAACTGAGGTGACTGCTATTGGCCGGTAGTTTGCCGGGTCCGAGCGATCCCCTTTTTTGGGCACTGGTTGCAAATTAGCATCTCTCCAAGTCTCCGGCACACGCCCCAAAGAATACGAGCATTGGTACAAGTGCGTGAGCACGGGAGACAACTCCGCTGCACATTTTTTAAGTACTACTGCTGGGATGCCATCAGGTCCACTAGCTTTCCGGACGTCGAGTGATTGCAATTCGGCACGAACCTCGCGCTGCCTGATTTTAATATCAGGCATCGTTGTGCCACAGTGAGGTAATGATGGTGGCAGTGCATTGCAATCATCGATTCGGGAGTTAGCCGCAAAGAGTTTTGCCAGTAAATCGGCTTTCTCCTGCGGCTTATGGGCTAGTGTTCCGTCTGGACATCTCAGAGGTGGCAGCGAGGGCTGGCAGAAGTTTTTTTGCACGGCCTTGGCCAAACGCCTGTAGCTACGGGAGCCCGTAGGATGCGTCATAAGTTCCTGGCCAACACGTGTAACGCGCTGGGCATCCGCTCTCATGTAAGCCTTCTTACAGGCCTTGGAAGCAAAATTGTAGGCTGCTTTGAGTGAATCGACCTCGGGATCCTTGAGAGCGCGGCCTCTGATCCAAGCACGATATGCCGCTTGCTTACGCGAAGCAGCTTCAGCACAGTCGTGATTGAACCAGAGGTTAAGTGTGCCCTTACTGATGAGATCAGAATGTGGAATATAGTATTCCATACCCATTATAATCTCCTCAGTAATGGCAACGGCACTGGCCGATAGGTCCCTGTCACTGAAGCAGCGCTGCTTCCAAGGCACGGACGCAAAGTAGTCACGCATACCATCCCAATCTGCCGACCCATAATGCCAGATACGGCGCTTGACCACTGCTGGACGCGGAGGTTTGGCCTGTGGTGCTTTGGCAGATATCAGGCAGTGGTCTAACGAGCCCAGGGGGGCTCTTATCACAATCTGATAGCCCTGTGGATGTGTCGTGAGCAGAAGGTCCAGTAAAGAAGGCGCTTGACTTGGAATATCTGGGATCCTGGTGGGCTGATCAACCAGTTGCTTCAAGTCATGCGTGAGAGCGAATGCGTGAGCAGAGATCCCTGCATGGTCAGTTTTGGAAAAACTTAACCACAAATTGTGGTGAGCATTAAAGTCCCCCAAAAACACCAATTCTGCATTGGGAAATTGTTCCTGCGCGTCATCTGCTGCCCGACTAAGGTGCTCAAAAAGTCGAGTTGTGTCAACATCGCCGGTGTGGGATCTGTAGAGGCACACGTAGACTCTGGCCAGGGGGCCAGAGTCGACGTGTACCCCCAGCATGGAGAAGGAGGGATCTTCCAAGCAGCGGAGACGGCGACAACAAACATCCGCCCGAACATACAGGCATACACCGGCTTTCGCTTTGAAGGACTCTTCAAGCACGTAGCCGGGATAATTAAGGTAGCCTGTGTCAGCAGGCCAAAGTATTTGTGTCTCCGTCAGGAACAACAATGCTGGCCGTGCTGTCTCAAGATGGTGGTGGACAGCGTTGAGGTTAGAGTGGAGTCCGCGTATATTGCAGAACTCGAGCTCAAACAGCGTTGAAGGCGTGGGGGTGTGCACCGCTGTACGTCCAAACTTTGTTTTAGGAGCTGCCATTATGGAAGTGTAAAAGAGACGTAATCGAGTGAACGTTGTCGCGACAAGACCGGGCAAATTAGGGAGGCATGTTTCCCCGAATGATTGCCTGCAGAGGATATACGCCGACCTGCCGGACGGAAGGGCCCCCGCACCCCCCCGGAAGTGGCCGCCGGGACCCCACGCCCCGGTCACCAACCGGCACGACGATCCACCCCGAGATGAATTGTCTATTTATTAATGAATTTTATATTCTTCAAGGCGCTAAAGGAGATCTTATTCCGTAGGCCACTTCTAAAGCAAATAAAGAATTCAGCGGAATCTCACATAGTGCTTGATTGTGCGACGGACAGAATCAGGGATGTTCTCCAACAAGCACAACAGATTGGAATGATGTCTGACTACCATAGCTACCTTATTACCTCCTTGGTAAGTTTACGGGTGCGCTTAGATTATAAAACACAATGCTGGCACGCAGTTTACAAAGAGAAATAATGGTAAGACCCAATACTAAATGTCCTCAGAAATAAGCGAATACGAATTGAATCGTTACTAGTAATTCTGACTAAAATCACGATGTGCACGTCGCCGCAATGACAAGCGCGTTCGGTCTGTGATTGCGTACAGTACGTTTGTTCGCAAAAGCTCTGCACGATCTTGATACGTCGCAACAAATCGATGTGAGGCCGCTCTCGTGCGAAGCCGAGGACACCTGGCCCCATGGGTACAGTCTCATCAATTACATGAAAATCGTAAGTAAAACTTATTGCTAAAATGTATAGATTCACCCAAGATTATTCGCAAGTGACATATGTTTACGTCACACATGTAGATATGTTATGCGAGTTTTTTTTTCGGAACTTTTGATGTAACTCGTCTTCTCGAGTTTTCTTTTTATAAAAATAAATGGAAATTTGCCTTCGGTTAACTACGGTACAGTAAAACATTTCTGTTGAAACTGAAACTTGCACGAGTCGAGGCTAATACAGCCGGATAAATGCAAACACGAGGGGAGTTGACGGATTAACAGCTTGAATTGTAACACCCAGTTAAAAGCTTCTTGTGATTACTCCATCTATTTTGCTGTTTAAATTCTATAAATTGAAACACACCACATTAATAACTGTTCCTTTAATTATTAGCAGACAAATAACAGTAAGTTGTTGTAGTGAAAATTTCAAAACACAAATGATAAATATTTCCGTTTCCTCAAAAGTGCAGTATGTCATAGTACCATCTAGAATTGTCATTTATTTATTTTTAACATAATTTACACATCTTCTTATTTCAATGAATAGGTAGAAATGAAAGGCTTAACTGAAGTTATAAAGTTCGACCATCAGGGAATTAGAAGCGACTTCACTTTAGACATAATAGAGCTGACGAGAGATGGCTTGCAAAAAGCAGGCACTTGGATTGGACTTCACGATGCCGTTCATGAACCTGGGTTGTATCGAAAGCCAATCAAGCAGCCACCGAACCTCTTCTATTTCCTGTCTCCCTTATCACTGGACGTATGGATCTATATGGCCACGGCTTATCTCGGCGTCTCTGTGCTACTTTTCATTCTGGCGAGGTACGTGGCGACTGACATTGTATATAAAACATTTTAAAGGAAATTTTATATGACCAGATGCAATTGAATGTATTACATAACTTCATATTATTCTTATTTAGGTGTATGGCAGAGGATAATATACTCAATTTGTGCTACTTAACATAAATTATAAAGTTGTAAAGATGCCGTTGACGTAAGGCTATTTACAAACATCGCATTGATAAATTAAAAATGTCTCATTGCGTTTCTTTTAAAATTCTTTTTGTTAGAACTTTGACATACAAATTATTTACAATACCCCAAGCACAAACTTTAACAGATCCATAATCGTATCCCCATCGTTAATTTTTCTATGGAAGGAACCTTTTTTTTGTGTGTATGCTGTTGATCGCAGATGACCTTTACAGCGTCACCGGATTTGGGGACGGCGAGATCCTAAGGCGAGAGCTTAAGTTCCCCCTTAAGCCGAGAATGGGCGAGTACCTCTAGAGGTGTTCCAGGCAGATGGCATCTCACCACGGGGGGTGACTCCTTTCCGTCTGGAGCCTCTAGACCACTCGAACCTGAGGGGGTGGAAGGAACCAGTTTGTTCTTAAGTCCGGTTTAGTTTCCATAGAAACTGACAAATACGATACGATTACGATTACGAATCTGTCAAAGTTCCTGCTTAGGGTACAGTTTTGATGAATACACTTGATCGCTTACATATTAACATTTGATTTGCCACTGACAATAGTTTTCTTTGAAAGTAAATATTTAATCAGCTATTGAAATCAACTTAATAAATATCACTAATTAATTGTATTAGGTTCACACCATACGTATGGCATTCGACACATACCCCAGGCGGCCAGAAAATGGAAAGTATATTTTCACTCGCCAACTGTTTGTGGTTTTCCATCGGATCTCTCATGCAGCAGGGCTGTGACTTTTTAACAGTTGTGGAGCCCCTTATAATAAATCAGTATTGGAAACGCACGTGTGCGTTTTCAAACGTGTGCGTTTGTGACCACAGCAAAGTCCACATGAAGAACTATTAAAAGGGGCTAAAGAACATCGCTCACCTACGTAACTTCACATAAAAGCTTCTAAAAAATTTGCATAAGGTATATTAATCGGTATAAAAGCTTAAACTGACCATGTGGAGCAAATAACCAAACGTTCCAACAGATTTGTTTTAAATGTAATCCATATTTTTGAATGTATAAAATGTGCAAAATGGTTTGATCACTTTATTTCTGTACAACCGGAGTGTGAATGCTCAAACAATTACGCACATGATTTTAGAACTCAAAGGTGATTTATAATACAAAAAGTGATACAAAAATTATTGGAAAACATCCTACTCTGTGCTATTATGGTCTGCACTAATGTTAAATTCATGAGTTTTAGTAATTCGAGTAAAGATACCTCCCTCTCAGTCAGAGAAAACTTTGTGTTTCTTTCAAACGCAAAGTTTTTTCGGTTTGTTGGTTTCGTAATTGACATTCTACGCCTGCCTTCTCGACGTCATCCACGAATCATGTTGACCCCATAAAATTGTTTTGGTGCGTTGTTGAGCGATTCTGTAATGTTGAATAGGAGTATTTGGGCACAGGTTCAGCCCGTACGAGTGGAACAGCCCCGGGAACTGTGTAGACGAGCCGCCGGTGCTGGAGAATCAGTTCACTCTGTTAAACTCGCTGTGGTTCACTATCGGATTCTTGATGCAGCAAGGTTCGGATATCGCACCGAAGTAAGACGATTCAATCCGCCTCGTTGCCGCCATCACCTCCATATATTTTACTTCCGACGACATATTTCGTTCCGCCAGGAAGTCGATGACGGCGACATTTATTTTAATCGCCGCCCGGAGCTCCTCCCTTAAGCTGCCAGCCGGTTTCTTCTGCATTCTCCGCGAACCTTTAGGCGTACACGGCAATCCGCCTCGTTGCTGCCTTCACCTCCGTATATTTTACTTCCGACGACATGTTTCGTTCCGCCAGGAAGTCGATGACGGCGACATTCATTTTAATCGCCGCCCGGAGCTCCTCGGCTGTGAGGTCAGACAACGGTTCGAGCTTCTGCGTCGTCTTCTCCGTCCTTGGCGTTACCTGCGACCTGCGCCCTTTTCAAATACAGTGTTGTGTGTAAAAAGAAAAAAAAACATAAACAATCCACTTGAGGCAAGATAATTTAATAAGTATGTTTCCTAAATAACACTGTCATGACTGACAGAAGCTGTCACGAGGAGCTCGATGGCGCAGGTGGCTAGCGCGTTCGGCTGCGATCGTTGAAGTTAAGCAACTTTCGCAGTGGTCGGTCATTGGATGGGTGACCAAAAATTTACTATCTCGAGCTCCTCCGTGCTTCGGAAGGTACGTTAAGCCGTTGGTCCCGGCTGCATTTGCAGTCGTTAGCACCCACCAATCCGCACTGGGCCCGCGTGGTGGGTCATGGCCCAATCTCCCTATTCCATCCATAGGGAAGGCCTGTGCCCCAGCAGTGGGGACATTAATAGGCTGATGATGATGATGATGATGACTGACAGAACCCAGAGATGGCGACGAACTCAACTCCAGACCGGAAGTTGTGAAATTATATCTTGGTAAATAAAAACAACGGCTTAATGCACATGTGGTAGGTATTTTTGAAGATAAATAAACTAGATATTACCCATGACCTAAAATTAAAAATGCCTAGAGAAACGTTCAAAGTAAATTAAAAATCAAGGGTACCCGTGAATAAATTTCAATATGTGTGTGAAAACTATATTCAATGTTGTTTCGTTCAGCCGTTTCTGCGTGACCAAGTCACATTTATACTTTTCACATTTACTTTCACAAAATAAAGGTAAAGCAACTTTCAAATTCAGGTAAAATAAAGTAAAACTATCGGCCCACATAGAAAACGGTACAATGGTATGGTATTAAAATATCAATGTATATTTTTCCATTCCATTGTTCCAGTTAAACAGGGGAGTACGAGTATACTGAATAAAAATGAACAAAATGATTCTATGCAAGCCCCAAGTGTCCATTTAAAAGAATATTTACTTTCCCGGACGTTTATGGTAAGTACTGAATAAATTACAAATATAGTTAACTCAATAAAATTTAACGCAGATTCACCGTTCCGCACCGCCATCAGCGGAGCCGTTTTGAAATTACAAGAGGAAGGTAAACTGCACATTTTGAAGACTAAATGGTGGAAAGAGAAACGTGGCGGTGGATCTTGCAGGGTGAGAAACGTTCTGACGACTGTTATTATCATTAAGATTTTTTTACTGTACCTCTAGCACGAACCAATATCGAATTCGTATCGTTTGCGAGTCCGAAATGTCATTGTCAAATGTGTACTGATTTTTAGTTCCGTTACGTACTTTGTGCAGCTGCTGTTCAAGTTTCCATACAAAAAGTGACATTGACATTTCGGTTTGCAAACTATTTCAGCAGTTCATGCACTGTATTTCATTATACTAGACTAGTCCAATTTCATATTTGTTTCTGAGGTTTTCACGCACATCACTCATTAAATAAAACTAGTTTTATCGTGCATTAACGAACTTTATTTATTTATTGACGTTTCGCAGCCTTCTCGGGTCTGCATCATCAGAATAATGATTTTTTATTTACTTTGTCGAGCTACCTTCAAAAGACTTTTATATTTCATTGGAAAAAAGTTAAATCTTTATTGTCTATGTATGAATTTATTAGCTAATTTAGTTAATAAGGTACTTTATTTAAAATTGTTTTTTGTAATTTCGAGTTTATTTATTTAACCCTCACTACCGTAAACTACCACCGGTTTCAAAATTGGGAGACCTTTCTGAGAAGAACCGGCTAAACAAACTCGGAGAGGCTTTCTATCTCCTTCTTATGTTAAATCATGCAAACAAAAAGAACTAATAGTATCTGTTGGCCTTGCAGTGTGTGCTCGGGGTTGGGATTTTATCTCTTGTATAATGGGTTCCCAAGCTGGTAGAATGTACCAACCGTCTTCCCTATTGAAATTTGGATATTTTTTAATCTCAATAGCCTCGCGTATCATTCTGAACGAATCGCTCAGTTGCAAGGATCTGTGGTTTATCAAATCTAATGTAATGGTTTGGTCCCCCTAATGCATGTTCACATACTGCAGACTTATTTTCGCGCCTATGTTTCATATCTGCGATATGTTCTTTTACCCGAGTCCCTATACTCCTCTTTGTTTGCCCGATGTAGGAGAGCCCACAGTCGCATTCAAGTTTGTAGATACCAGCAACTTGAAAGGGTATATTGCACTTGAAAGGTCGTAGAAACTGGTTGATCTTCTTGGCGGCTTGAAGTAAATATTGATCAAAGCACGCTTCAGAATCCTCCCAATCTTATCAGTGACTCCTTTCATGTAAGGTAGTATAGCAGGTTGTCGGTCGACTGTGCTAGGTTTGGTGCGATTGTTACGGCGACGTCGTATATATAGATTATTATCCTTCAGTACTCGCTCGACATGCTAAAGTTCAGCTGCCAGGTGTTTTTGTCACAGACACCCCGTGCTTGGAAATTTTACAATTTCCGATGTAATTTTCATAGGAAATTATTCTTAAATCATTTACATGATGGTTTCTATTTGAATACTATGTTAATAAACTCTCGTTAAGTTAAAACTTTTGCTTAGTATAAAGTTGTCTTTGAATAAGTAATAAACTGTATCTTGGACGAAGAATCTCGCTATGCTTACAAATATACATATGCTTAGCGTAGTTAAATTAAAAAACCTTAGAAAAAGCCAAATCACTTTATAATACACAGAAAATATGTGTATGTTTATAGAATTTCTTATTTTAACGTAATATTTATGTCTTCTTGTAAAGAAACACCAAGTAATATATGACAATTAAATAAAGATGATGACAATTTGTTCTTTGTCTATCAGGTAGATTATCAAAAAAAAAATCTAATGATTTTTTCTTAATAGTTATAATCAAAATATTACAGAATTAAATTGATTTGAAATGTCGCATGATAGCTCGACAAAGTAAATGAAATCATTATTCAGACGACGCACCCTGAAAAGGATGCGAAACGCCAATAAATAAATAAAATCAGTGAATCTATAACGTTCAAACTTGTTTTATTTAATGAGTGGTGTGCGTAAAAACCTAAGAAACAAATATGTCGTATGATATAACGTCTTGGTACAATTTTTACCATAATGTTTACATAGAAGTGACGTCACGAGCCCCCTCTCCCAAACTTTGAATGTCTTTATCTTTGTATTTTTTGGTTGACGGACAAAAGAAAAAATAATAGTCCATTATTTTATGATAATCTAACAGACGGACTAAGTGGAATTTCGTTTACTTTACCCTTTCATCATCCATACTCTGACACTTTCCTTTCCCAAACACCACTTCTTACCTGAGAAACTAATATCAATTTAACCAGGACGACACGTCTAAATCTTCGTCCACCGCCAACGAGTTAGGACTCGCAAACGTGGGCGGCGTGTTCGTGGTCCTAATGGGAGGGATAAGTGTTGCATGCGTCATCGCGGTCTGCGAATTCGTGTGGAAATCGCGTAAAGTAGCAGTCGACGAACAAGTAAGTGAATATTTACTTTGTCTTAATTTATTATTTAACGCAATTCATTTTGTTGAATGCCATTGTTGTGTTATTAGAGCTATTAAGGTACAATTTTAAGGAATATTAAGCAGTTATGTTTTTAATATGTTATAGTGTGAATGAATTTTATATGTATTTATTTATTTCCATTTTTATATGTCTCATATTTTATTAATTTCAAAAACAAAGTTTTAAGTCATACCAATTCAAACACTGAAGTGAGTCTGAAGTATCTACTGTCAATATTTTTTTTTATTTATAAGTACACATTAATGAAAAGTACAGTTTTATTCAATTTGTATTTTCTAAAATAGATTTTCACGTTGTGATTATTAGGTATAATATAAATTCAATTGTTTCCAAATTCGATTATTCCTATAATGGATTTTGAAAATGAAAAGTTAATACCTAAAGATCTTTTCGATCATTATTATTAAAATTATACTAAAGAGATGGAATCCAACATCAAGTCAAAATAAACACTGTGTTAAGTTTTATCCAGTCAATACAAATATCTGTACATTAATGTAATATTACTCTGAGAGATATCTGACGAAATTATGTACAGCAGAGCAGACTAATAATATGAGAACAATTTAATTATCAGGAGGGTGTTGTAAGGACAATGAGTTTTGTATGGCGTGTTACAGACAGCATACAGCGTCTGGAAGTCACTGGGGTCACATTGAAACAATAAATTATAATATAACAGAATTTACTTCTTAATTTCTGCTTAGTTTTTTATATTTTTTGTTTTATTATAGTTTGTATATGAAAGTTGCTTTTTCTTTCTACGTAGCTTTTATTAAACAGTTCTATTGTTTTAAATGATGACGAAATTAATTCTTAGTGGAAGGAAGAGTTAAGTATACGAGTAGTACTGAACGAGAATGGAAACATGTGGTTTTCCCTGATGAAACAAAAATTAATATGATTAATTCTGACGGAAAACAACATGTTAGACGCCTCCCTAACAAAGTATACTAAGAAAGTAGTTAAACATGGGGGCGGAAATATCAAAGTTTGGTGCTGTTTCTCAGGACTTGGACTTTCAACAGGATAATGATCCGAAACACACTGCAAAAGTAATAAAAGACTTTTTAAGGAACCAGTCTGTGACAGTTTTGGATTGGCCCCCGTACAGTCCTGATTTAAACCCAATAGAAAATTTGTGGTAACAGGTGAAGAAGACAATGACGACAAAACGGACATCAAACATCGATCAACTTTACACAGCTTTTAGAGAAGCTTGGAAGCAAATTCCGGTGGAAGTTTGTAAAAAATTGATCGCTTCCATGCCCAAGAGATGTCGTGCTGTCATTTCTGCCAAAGGACATACGACCAAATATAGATACGTACCAGAAAGTTTTATAAATATGTTAGGAATATTGTGTAATAAAGATAATTTCAAGAATAACAATGTTTTTTTCTATTTCTTCTAAGCAAATCGATTGTCTTCAATTAGTTGGCCAGCTATAAATACGTTAAAAAAGTTTGTGTTACGTTCCCATAGTGAGCAGTGTCTAAACTATTAACGAACACAACTATTTTTTGCCAACATTGTAAGAATACAACGTCGTGTATGGATTAAT